ACAAAATCACTGGTTAAAGGCTACTCAAAATGCATGTAGAACCAACCAATCTCTCATACATGAAACAAAGATTGATTGCTCCCTCAAAGCAGTGATCAGTAAACAGAAACTCACAAATTTTGGAATGTGATGTGAATAGATAAAGGACTCAAAACAAAACATTGGCATCCAATCAAGATTAGTAAGGTTGAAGGATGTACAAGGAAAAGGCAATGGAACAAATGGCAAAGGAACAGGAGCAAGGAGATCATGAAGAGGTACAGTACCAATTATTACCAGATTCAAGTGGTACCTGAAGAGCTACAGATTATTATCAGGTTAAATAAAATAGCATGTGTCCATATAGTTGCCAGGAATTGGACTGAATTTAAAGACATAAGTAAAAAACTACGGTCTTTAAAAAAAATCTTCAGAATCTATTAGTCTATCAAAAATATGTTGAATTTATTAGACACACAGACAAGAAAATCCCAAACAGCTTCACTATTATTCCAATTTGGAATGCCTAGAGCCATGGTGGCAAACCTATGGCATGCGTGCCACAGATGGCATGCAGAGCCCTCTCTATGGGCACGCATGCCGTCGCCCCAGTCCTAGGCATTCAGCTGGGTATTATAAAACCTTTTCGCTTTAGGCCTCTGCCGCCATGTGCAAAAAAAAAAAAAAAAAGGTTCAATCCATTTCAACTTCTCACAGAAAAAAAAAAGATCTCGCAAAGTTGGAATTGATTGAACTTTTTAGTCCCACCCAGTCTGCCCTTTCCACTGCAGCCACACCCACCCAACTGGCCACATCCACCCAATGGGCCATGCCCACCGAGCACCCAACGATACATAAGTGGGTTTTGGGTTGCAGTTTGGGCGGTCTCTAAAAGGTTCGCCATCACTGGCCTAGAGAAAGCGCCTTATTCATCTATCAGGAATGTAAAGGAAGATTCAAAAAAGGTGCCACCCCCGCCAAGCCTTCCCTATGCCAAAGTCCCCCAGCAGAAATGTTGAGCCCCTGCTGTTATAACCTTGTTTATCTTAGTATATTTTGCTGGAACAAGGACTATTAGTATTACAATGCAATTTCTAAGATAATGAGCAGTATCTAATCTGCCATCACTTTATCATTTAAAATCAAATCATAGAATTCCAAAAGTTCTAAAGCTAATTGTAATCAATCCTAATACAGAATTCACTATTTTGCCACTCCTTATGAAATGTTTTGATATCAGCGCTTTATAATTTCTTTATTTTAAGAGAAGGGGAGATGAAAAAAATAAGAAATTGGGGCTATTGTTTCATTGTTCATTATGTTGTTATTATCTATCAACACATTATCTGCAGTAGTTGTAGGTTACGGCAAAGTTAGCATAGTTTATCACTGCTTTAAAGCTAGTTCTCAACTTACAACCATTTGGTTAGTGACAGTTCAAAGTTACAACAGTGCTGAAGTGACCTATGACTGTTTTTCACATTTACGACAGTTGTAATATCCTCATGGTCACTTGACCAAAATTCAGATGCTTGGTTCAACTGGTTCATATTTATGATGGTTCCTGTGTCCTGGGGTCATGTGATCACCCTTTGCAACTTTCTGACAAGCAAAGTCAATGGGGGACCCAGATTCACTGAACAACCGTTTTACTAACTTAACAATTGCAGTGAATCCCTTAACAAGGCAAAAAAGCTCATAAAATGTGGCAAAACTCACTTAACAGCTGGGTTGCTTAGCAACAGAAACTGTGGGCTCAATAGTGGTCGTAAGTCGAGGACTACAGTACTTATAATGCTGCCAAATATTATCAGCATGTAGCTAAATCTAAACATTGAACGCTTAGTTAATCAAATATAACAGGAGTTCTATTTCTGTATTGCTACAATCTGTAACTTCAGTCTTTTGGATCTGCTGTGTCAGTTTGAAAATCTAATTGTTTATTCAGCTTTAATGACCACTTAGCAATAGGTGAATGTACTGCAATGCTCCAATCTATACCTCCATGCATGTATTCACCAAGGCAACATAGGAGCCATTTTGTTCCAGAAGATTGTAATATAGCAATTATAGGGCAAGCATACAAATCCACAGCACTACTCAGTTAAAAATGCAACAGAATAAGGTTTTCAAAAGAGAAATTGTTTCCATGCCATATTTCTTCAAGCATTTTCACACACATGTTGGCAAACATCTTGAATCAATCAAACTTCTAATTATACCTGGTAGCTGACATCCCCTCTCCAACTAACTGTATTCCATTTTATATCACCACAGATACGTTCATGTCTGTGAAGTATGCAGATGCTGCAAGCAATGACATCTTCAATAATGTATTTATCAGAGAATTTTACTATGAACTGAAATTAAAATTCTGAAAAAATAAGATCAGGAAAAAAGCCTCCAATCTCTGTCTTCACATGACAGACTCATGTTAGCTTTGTACAACTTTTCAACTTAAAGAAAAACCAGAATGTTTGCTAAAACAAACTGGATGCAGGCTCCATCTGCTTTCTTTTCTACTGGCATCCAATCTGTTCAATGCCTCCAAGATATGCTTATACCTATTTTTCTAGAACAGGTTCCAGAGCAGAAATGAGCAAGCTTTTAAGAGACAAGGACTGCAGATAACGTTCATCTTTTGGGGGGGGGGGGATGCGAGGCTGAGCAGGTGCATCCATGATGAAGAGTGCGCATGCCCAAGATTTTGGGTGTTTCTTTCATTTCAAAAATCAGATTGAGTTTCTTCGTCATTACTATACTAAATCTATTTTAGAGTTTAAGCTATTATTCCTTTAGTATTTTCCACCTCAAAATGATAAGAAATTATACTATTAATTTTCAGTAACTGGGTCAAAAACACCTCAGGATGATGCAAAAAAGTTGTGAACCACCCGAAATTATCCCCACTTTACCAACCATTAAACATTTTCTATGTAAGTGAGATCAAAGCACTTTGATCTTACTTATATCTTTCTAGTTTTTCCGAGACTGGGTCATCCTGATGGTGTAAATACATTAAGCAGACCCATCAACAAAATATATTTTATCAGTTATGACCTCAGTAAAATACCCTTTTCCTAGCATTGTTTTAATCTAGACTGTTCATCATCATGAACACTGATCATCTGAGTAATATTTCACATTTTATTCTTCATGATTACATAGATTTAAAAAATATTAGGTAGTATCACTGAAACTAAAAAAACTTAGATTAAATGGTCTTTCTGGGTCTCCAAGTTCTTATATACTTCCTAAAGATAAAGACATGTGAATAATTTAACATTATTTAGAATCCAATAATAATGATTTATTTAATAGATTTATAAGACCACACACTCATCAAATAACTCTGATCTTAAAGAATTAACATTTTCCTTATAAAACAGATTATTTTCTCTTAACCAAGAGCAAACATGGCTCTCTGAGAGATATCCACAGTGACTATTAACTTATTAAACTGGTTTCTCTAGTCTACCAGTATTTTGTAATCCATATTAAACCTCTGGATATCTTTAACTTCATTCAGTAAGTGTATAGTCCAGACAAGGCTGATTCTTGGCAAAAAGTCTCACTGACACACCCATTCTTGTATATTCTTGGATTTTCTCCATCCTTGCTTCTTGCAAATATACCTCTTTCAATAAATCAAACTGTCTACATTTGAAAATGTATAGATCATATGCTCTAAAATTTATTTATTTAGCATGTGGTTAATTCTACAATACAGAACTAATAATTTACTATCTGGTCCTCTTAATTTGTATAGACCCTATTGGCTGTCTAAGATCTACATAGCCCTCTAAATGTCTAAATGTGAATATGACCAAATTCAATAAAGCTTTTTCTCAAGGAGTAAATGTTTCCAGTCTGTTTTGGCAACATAGTTTTCCTGAGAATAAACTCACTGAAATTAGTGGAATTCATATTTGCGTAGACATATAAGCTTGCACTATTTAATAACCTCTACTGAATGGATGGGCAGAGCTTGTGGAATCTCCTTTGTGTCTCTTCCCCAGCCAGATATCAGCATTAGCCTGTTAGAGGCAAGTGCATAATTGTAGGATTTTTTTTCTTTTAAAGGGTGGTGGTGATAGGCACAGGGATAGAATTAGAAGAACAGGAAACATCACAATGCATCTCCATCTAGATACTTATCTCCATACTAGAACTAAACTTAAAAACATTCACACAAAATATCCATTCTTGTTAACTTTATTTTAATACCCTTTTTTTTCCAAAATGTGGTTGCATCTGTTGATTTTGTGAACAGAAAATCAGAAATTCTCGATATTGATATCTTAAATCACTAGGAACTGTACCAGGCAATATTGATTTACTTTAATTAATTAATTACTTATGCATTGAAAATGCTTTTTATTTTTGCCTACTTGTAGTAAACGTCTATGGCTTTTGACAAATCCAAAGAGAATGATCACTGGTCATCCAGATACCTTCTATCTCCCCGAATGGAAGTGAACACAGATACCTATACTGTACCCTTTTGCTTCTCTTTTCTACCCGAAAATAAAAATGAAGCATTCAAAAGGAGACAAGTATAAAAACATATATTTAGGTAACAGGCAAGATTTTACAGTTCCATATTAAATTTTGGAAGATTTCTACCACACGAACGGCCCGATTTACTTATTAAATGATTTCCGTACATTTTGTAAAACTTTCGGGTTTTCCAGACAACGAAACTACCAACCGCTTGGGTTTTTCTTTACTTAAATCTTACATTACCTATAGCTTAAACCTATTACAGGACCAGCACAATATTCGGTTTAAAATCTAGGTATACCGCGCCGACTTTCCAAGGCAGACTATTAAGCGACCTCGTTCCCCCCCCCCCCCGCACAGACGCCCCCCCCCAAAAAAAATCCGGCAAAAAAAGCCACAAGCACAACTCTGCAGACTTGTAATCGCCGAAGCAGCATTTATCATCCGCCCCCCCCCCCCCGGTCGGGAAAAGCATGCCTCGATGCCTTTCTAATTCAAGAGCTGGCGAACTGGCTCACCTGTCTAGATCCGTGCCGCGGTGGGCGGTGGGTGGATGGCGGCAGCTGCAGACCCCGGGAATCCCTCTCAGACGGCGACACCCGGCTCTTGTGAGACTGGCCATCCGAGATCATCCAAGGGGAGGGGCTGCGGTGTCATATTCCAGACCCTACCATTCCATCCTTCCTTATGGCGGAAGGGAGAGATGGTGTGCTCGGCAATCAGGTGACAGCACTGCGGCCTACACTGCAGAACCGGGTGGTTCCCAGCGGGGAGGGGGAACAGCTCGAAGGAAGAACCCTTATTCCCCCGAACGCTCCGATTTGGAACTCCCCGCCTTATTAGCATTCGAGAATGGAATGGGCGTCGGCGGCTCGCTGCACGTGACTAAGCGGCTAACCGCTTGGCTGATCCTTCGTTTTCACTGTGCGAACGGCGGACCTTCCTCTCCTTTCCCCCGGTATTCTTCCACCCCCCCCCCCCAAGAAGAAAGCCTGGGATCCGGATGCTATTTTACTATAGGCAGAGGGTGGCGATTATCTCCCCGGGATGTCCATGCGTGTACCACCCCGATGCGGCATGCAGACAAATGGAGAGAGGCCCAGCGATCCCGAGAGGGAAGCATAATAGGGGCGTGCTGAGGAAAGATGCCACACGCGTGTTAGGGTCTTCTCTCCTTTTCAGCCGAATAATTTTCAGGATAATGCAAACTTGCTTTTTCTTTTCTCTGTCAACGGAGCATTGCACGCACCTCCTCCCCAAAGGGTCATATCTGAAAGTTAAATTACACGGGGAAAGAAAGCAATGCTTAATAGAAGGCCGGTGTTCTGTTCCATGAGCGGTATGGAAATGGGGCGTGGTCGTGATGCTTCTGTGTTCAGAATTCATTGAGCTGTAGCCTGGGTTTCGAACGTCTTAAGCACGTGTCATTTAAAAGCAAGCCTAATTGATGATCTAGCTATCCCTCTTTCATAGATGACTACTCTGCAGCAACATTTCCAAAGCGTGCGGTATTGCTCTCCTCGGACGAAATGGAAAACGTATTGGGTATATAACTGATATGTCCATATGCATGCCTTGTGTATTTTATGCACTGCTTGTTCCACAGTTTCCTGGAAACAAAGCAATCTGCCTTCCATCCATCAATTTTCTGGCATTGGCTTGAATTCATAACTAGGTTTAAAAATAATTCCGATTTCCCCTTAGGACAAATTTTTGCCCACAAATCACAATAAAGCATGTTAGTCTCCCCCTGCCAAAGAAAGTGGAAATGTAAAGAGCAAATCCCGCCATAGCTAATAAATAAGGAAACTGCGGATCTGTTGCAGTCTCTCACTCAAAAACTGAATTGAAGACTTGCACATTACAAGCCTAAAACTGAATCCAAATACCTATTCAAGTTGAAAGTGGGACGTTAATTATTAGTTATCGCTATGCTTAAGGGATTCCTGTAGTGATTTTTAATACACTAAATTTAATCCTGGGTAGGGATTACTTCAAATTAAATCGGAAACTACTCGGAGGCTCCTTTCATACTTGGAATGGTAAGTGGGGAACAGAAGAAATTATATACATTTTGTCCCAAGTAAGGTTTAAATCGAGCAATTGATTTAAGTATAATTGCACTGAAGAACCAGATTTGGAGGGTATCTATAGGTATCTCATCCTATAAAAATTTATTGCTCCTGGCAGTGGGTGTCATAAAGGGGAGAAAAAAAACTGGATATATGGTACCTGATAATTCCAACATATTCAGATACTAGGCACTGTACATCAGTTGAATTTCCACAATACTCTACATTAAAATGTGATCTGGTGGTTTGGAGTGCATTGTCTTTGTGCTCATCCAGCCTGCATAAGGTTACTTTATGAGGCAGTGTGTTTTGCGAACCCAGGCAGCTGGTTAATTCGGTCACCACGGTTCAGTTAACCATGTTGTGTAAACACAGCCGCTGACTGCCAACGAACCTTACCTTCAGGCCTATAATTTATCATTTTCCCACTTCGTAATTTGCAAACTAACGTAGAGAAAAATTCTAGAGAGTTTGTGCTGACTGACCCTAAACTTGACCAGTGAGATTACATAAAGTATTGGAGTTAAGACGTGTGATCTTGTCGACATAAGGAACCCAAAGGGGTTTTGAATTATGAAAATTCCTGGGCGAAGAGTGACATTGAAGCTAAGATGCCACGGAGGCCTCATCAGCTAACAGAGCTGCGAAAACGTCCAGCGAACCAAAGGGACTTGAGCGGCGACGATCGCTGAAATCTAGACAATCCCCCTCCTTTCTTAGTATCTTACCTAGAAGGAGGAAGTAGGAACAAAGGGCTGACATTTGTAAGCGTTGTATAGGTTGCGATCTTGAGTCCCACTGGTTAGCTATTCTTCTGCCATTGCCCTCCTTTTCCCTGAGCAGATATGTCGCTTGTAATCACCAAATGAGGAACTGCTCCGTCGAGCTTATTTGCGGCTGGTGAGGTCTCTGTGTTGAGGCTGACTTCTAAAAGCGAGTATAACGCGACGGGGCGACTTGAGAGGAACCAGCAGTTCTTCTCAAGCGGGGAAGAGAAGGGAAGAGTGCGCGGGTCTGTTGGGATCCGGACTAAAGGACGAATCGGGGACAAAGGTCAACATGAAAACCTTTCAAGCAACTGGCGCGAGAAAGAACTCGTCGAAGTCGTGAACTGGGAGAGGGGGAAGAGATAGATTTGACTATTAAGCACCCATAAAAGTAGAGGGTTCCTGTATGAAGAAAATCGACTTTCGATCGTTCGCTGCCTCTCCCCCTCCCTACCCTCCGTTCCGGGAGATAAAACTATCCCGAAATTTGTCTCCCATCCACATCCCTCCGAATTTAATAGTTATTATAGCATGCACCTCTCCAATTGAAGATATTTCCTACATATTGCACAAAGAGACGATTTTGATATCACAAAGGATTGCGATAAAGATTGATACAGGTATAAATCCGTTTTAAGAACAATTAAACAATTATTGGGTGCAGATACCTGATGTTGAAGAATCAATATTTAACATTGCTTCTTAAAAGAATAAAATCCTAAGCGCATAGCCAGGAATTATAATGGCTTTTCCAGGCAGCTGATATTTTCTCTTTTTTAGAAAATGGAAGTATAATTTTTGTTATGACTGTTAAAAGATCAAACAGTACAAAGAAAACTCACTGAGCACAATATTCGAAGTCCGCTTGAAATCATCTCCTACATCGAAGCAGCGTATTTTATTTCATTTGGGCGACTTCAAAAGAACTTCCTATTGCGAAATCCCAAAAATTTGACATTTAGATCATTGCATAAAATAAAAAACTGGTGATATGATTTTTTTAAACAATTTGAGACCTTAATACTATCAAAAAGAGAAGGGGAAGAAGATGGGGAAGTCAAGATTTCATTTAAAAGTACTGAAATAGCTCATGGAAGTAGGCGGCTTAACATTTAAACGAATTTCTGTGGAATTGATTGGACGTGCTTCCGTTTCGAATGAAATCAGGAATCGACGACGACAATTAATAATATTGATGATTGAAGCAAAATACGAGAATATTGGACTGTCTGACCGTTAAGTTGAAGAGCCTTTGCAGCATAGTAAAGCCTCGTCAATTTTTACTAGAATTTATGGGGAAAGTAGCGATTTTTAAAACTATGAACTTTCTTTTTTTTTGTTTGTGCATGACAAACTGTGAAAATCAACTTGTTGAATAAAATATTGAAGAGGAAGATTGGTATAATTTACTTTAAATATCGGGACCTAGCAGTCTCTAAAAGCTTTAAACAGCAGAAATTCGTAGTCCGTTCCTACCAACCCGATCAAAACAATCCGTTAGGCAGGGGTCTTCAAACTTGGCCCTTTTATGACTTGTGGACTTCAACTCCCAGAATTCCATCAGCCGTGGAAACCTTTATGAGTGAATTTTGACCAGTCACCCCCTCTCAACCCAACCTACCTTACAGGGTTGGGGGGGATAAACCCCTCTATTCATAAAACAAAGATCCCTAGATTGCAAATCAAAACCTAGAATTTAATTTTGTCCTCTGTGGAAATTTTGCCCCATCTCTTATTTGAATAACAACAGAGATTAGTTTTGACCATGTACCTTATGAACTTGCACTACCCACGTCCAATAGCCCAGAGAAAGAGAGATTTTCCTTATATCTCACAAAATGAGAAAAGTATCATCAGAAACAAGCATTCAAAAGCATCGGTTTTAAACAATATGACCCACAAAGTGCTGTGCCCTGGTTTCAGACGTTATAATAAGAGTATGTTCAAATGCTGACGTTGTGACACAGTGGTTATGCAGATTGCCCTACTGTTTTCCGTGAAACAATTCATTTCGGAATACTGTGAGAGAGAAATAGTTATAAAACCAACCTACAAACCTTAAAAGCAGTCTTGTCTCAAATTGACAGTTCCAAAAAAGAAAAAGAAAAAAAAGAGTAAGAAAGTACAGTATGCAATCATTCGAGTAGTTCTGAAGGTTGGTTTCTTTTTTAAATTTTAATTTATAACCTCTGCACCTGCATTAGTTTTCCTACTTCATCCACCCTTTTTTTATGGCGGTGCCAAAGTGTTATATTTAAAGGTTCTTCTCCCACCGGCACTTGGCATCGGCAAGCCTCTTCTTTTCTTTGGGCAAATGTATACAGGACCAGAGTCGGTTTGCTTTAAAAGTATAGGAGGGATCAATAATCGTTGCCCTCCTGGAGAACCGTCGCGAAAATTCCCTCGCGCTGATCTTGGGAAGGGTCAAAGCTTGTAACGTCAATTCGGTAAACAAAAGGAAGCGCTAATCAAAGCAACCCATCAGCGGCAGAGGTGAAGGAGAAAGAGGCCCCACCTCGACCAGTCCCGTTTATTACAAGTGGCCGCCTTCGTATCAAGCCCTTGCAGCTTCATCAGGTAATGGGACATTCACCTCCGGGCCGCATCGAGCAACGAATGGGGCGAGGCCAGGGCAGAAGTTTTGGGAAACGTAGCCGGAAATGCTGCCGGATCGCGGTGGAGTTAGAATTCCTCTGCAACAGGTGGAAGAAGACTAGGCAAGCCATGTGAAAAAGGAGGAGGAGGAGGAATAATGTGTATATGTGCAGGTTTTAAAGACAGAAGATCAAAATATTCCTCCTGAAAGGATTTTGGGGGAAAAGAAAAAAAAGTAGAAAGAAATGCTGGAAGATATAAAGGGCAGTTATTCAAAGGACCTCTGCACTAACAGTCTACACCAGGAGTTCTCAACCTTGGCAACTTTAAGACTTGTGGACTTCAACTCCCAGAATTCCTCAGCCAGCAAAGCTGGGAGTTGAAGTCCACAATCTTAAAGTTGCCAAGGTTGAGAACCCCTGGTCTACACTTTATTCAGCCAATATAAAGTCTGTGTGCATTAAACGTTTTTGTAGTGATTGGCTCTAAAATTCAGAGAAAATAACAAAGTGAC